ACCTGAGCTACAGACATCTTCCTTCCTGATAGTGTCAAACAGTTTTCAAGCACAATCAGCAATTTTTAACAGAACACGGATTTCATAGAATCATAGAATGAATTGGGTTGGAAGGGACCCCAAGGATCACCAAGTTCCAACTCCCCTGGCACATGCAGGTACTGGATCAGATTGCTGTGAACAATCCAGGGATTGTTCCAACCTGGCTGTGAACACCTCCAGGGATGGAGCATTTACAGCCTCTCTGGGCAGCCTGTTCAGCACCTCACCACTCTCAGTAAAAAACTTCCCTTTGACATCAGATCAAAATCTTCCCTCCTTTAGTTTAAAACCATTCCCCCTTTTTCTATCACTATCTACCCATGTAAAAAGTTGACTTTCCTCACATTTACAAACTCCATTTAAATACTGGAGGGCTGCAGAGAGGTCTCCATCATCCTGTCTTTGTAGGGGAGGTGCTCCAGTCTTCCGATCATCTTCATGGCCCTCCTCTGGACCCTTTCCAACAGCTCCACATCTTTCCTGTGTTGGATGCCCCAGACCTGGACACAATACTCCAGCTGGGGCGTCATGAGGGCAGAGTAGAGGGACACATTCACCTCCCTCACCCTGCTGGCCACTCATCTTCTGATGGAACCCAGGATGTTATTGGCCTTCTGGCAGTTTCTGTAACATATTCCCAATGTTCACTCCTCGTTAGTGACGGCTCTGCGAGAGAAAGATCAAGTTAGGAAGAGAGAGGAGGAATCAGCATAAGAAGTACCATTTCTCCCATTTAACCAGGTAACCAGGGGTATTTCCAATGGATCCTGTTTTTAGCTCCTCATTCACTTGCACTGAGCACAGACTGGGACAAACCCCAGTGAGAAAACATGGGGGTGAGAAATGCCTCTCAGCCAAAACCAGAAAGTAGTGTTGCATGAAACCAGCAAAATGAAAGCACAAACCTCTAATTATTTTAATATTGGAGAGCGACGTTGTTGCTCGGTGTGAGGTGCACAAACAACCCCTGGCCACAGGTCATGGTTCACTAGCATTTCAAAAAACAGGGGCACTGGCACCATGCTTTCCCTGGACAAAACAGCTGGGTAACAAAATAAAATGAGCTGTGGAATAAAACCAACATTCATCTATCCACACAAGAGGTGCGTAATTGCTTTGCTGGGTGGTCTTTGCCAGATGTCATTTCAGTACTGTTCCCAACACCCCAGCATACAGGAGATCCTATGCAGAGCATCAGCTGTGCAAATCTAGGGTGCTCTGGGCACAGAGACTGATAGCCACAGGGCTCATTCCCAATAGACTGTCTCCTGGTGGTGACATGAGCGTCCCTAGAGGCAATGATGTGCCAGAGGGTGAAAACCTGTGCTCCTGATACTCCTGGATACAGGCAGGCCTGTTAGCTGGTGCCTGCCCCAGAACAGTAGGGCCAGCTGGGGCTCAATGCCCAGCCCACAGACCTGCTCAGGGCCAGCTCACCTCTCCTGGCAGCAGTTTGACTGGGCACAGTGGTTCTTCCTCAAGAAAACCTCCTTTTCCTTCAAAGTGTCATGGGAAGCAGCAACAACAGATTGTTTGTGCCCTGGTCCCAAAGAGGAATACACTGAACTGAGTGGAGCATCGCTGTGCACTTGGGATAACTCTCTGACTTCACTTGGAACTTATACTCAAATAAATAGCAGCAGAACTGCCTGGCTCCTTTTTACACAGAGTATCAACAACAAAAAAGCATTTTCTGATTAGTGCTGCATCTGCACTCCAAGTGGGACACATCTATTAATAGAGAAGTGGGCAGTCAGATACGCCCTTCAGAAACGCATGCGGCCGCAGATCTTCAGTTTCTAACTCACACGTTGCACCACACAGGGAAACTGTAATGCTGGATCTGTTTTCATGCCTAGCTTGATGAACAGGAGCATTTGCATATTTACATATCTTCTCTACATGTGCTATAAAATGAAACTGGAAAATTAACTAAGAGTTTTTGGCTAACAGGGTAAAAATAAAACGAGGACCAGAGCTCATGCACAGTGAGTCAATATAATCAGGAGGCATCGATCAGTGGAACAAAGAATGCTTTCATTGCCTTCAAAGTCGATACTGCAGAGGGAAAAATAGATGTACACAATTGTAAACAGTCAGCCACAAAACACTTCACAGACAGCATTCAGTTCTGATGAATATTTCATGGGTTTTGGTGTTTTGGTTTCTGTTTTGTTAGTTCGTTTTTCCACTTCTTTAGTCTGTCACTTCAGAGAAGTTGAACACTTACAAAAAAACAGACAAGAGTGGAGCTAAGCTCTCTGATGCTAATACAGTCTTCACTTTGGTGACTGAAAACATAGGATTAAACATCCTGTGCTCTGCCTTATTCTGTGCTGCTCTTCTTTTCTCAGTGGAAAAGTCTTCAGCAGGTATAAAATGGGCCTGCTCCTATATTCTTAATGCCTTTCCCTTTGAGGTCAGAGGGAAAGGGCTAGATTTCTGCATTTTAAGCTAGGCAGAGACTGTTCAGTACTCATCAAAGACTGAATGCAGATCTTACTCAGTAATCTGCAATTCTGAACTGCAAATCTATACATAATCCTGAAGCAGTAAGACAGAACTGTGTTTAATACAGCTCATCAGTATATTTATTTTTCAGTAATGGCTTGAAGCCCTTGTCATTGGCTGAGCACTTGAGCACAAAGCGCTGCACAAACACCAATGACAACACTGAATTTGTCCCAAAGAGTTCTAAATCTCTGCAGCAGTACAAAAGACAACAGCTTTCTGTAGCTAATGGAAAAGCACAGTACAATATTTGTTCTGCTCATTACACTTGTTTGAAAAACTATAAAGTGTTCTGTGGCAAATGGCACTGAGAAATATCTGAGGTTAAGAGACAGTTGAGTCCAGGTATCAAGTCATCTAGACACTAAATGATGTTATAGATAAAGATAGGCTGTGGAAAATGAAAGGAAGAAATTTCCAAAGGTCAGCAAAGGAACACAGAGAGGACAGTTTCGATGAGAAAGTGCAGGGGTGAACCTTGCACACCATCCCAGAGTTCTATGAACTGGGCAAAATAAGAGAAAAACAGAATCCAAGTCACAGATTCTGACCCCAAATGAGATCTTTAGCTAGATGAGAATAGGAAAGATAGGATCTTAGAGATATTATGAGTCTACCAAAACTCCAAGCAATCAGGATACGAGACTTAAGAGGAGGTTCATCTTAAGTATAATTATGAACTTTCCTTATTTGCTTCTTAACTCATTACAAAAGCTGACAGTCTTCCCCAGCTGGCCCACCTAGCAGAGTAAACTGCTGATGGTCTTTAAGTTGTTCTAAACTGAAGTCTTTAAATGACAGACCTTTTGTTTTTGCCCTGTCAGACTATCTGAAACTTACTTGCAAATTTTAATTTTTCTGGTTCATTCACTGTTTCTTTCCTGTGAGTTTAAAGCACAACCAGGGGAAATGTGACGAAATATTGTGGCTACTGATGGTATCTGAAGTTTGAGGCATGGATTTAATAGTTCATCTCAGTTCATTACCACCTCTTACGCAATTTATACCATAAATAATTTTATTTGCCTGAGATTACTCTATGGACTTTTCAAGATTTTCAATACAGTTGAGTAAGGATGATTACAGCTTTTCTTGCACCCTTTGCTGCTGGTTGTATTAAGCATGCAGCCTGGGATCTGATGTCCCAGGCTTTGCCATGTGTTTTTGTAGCCATGCTGCCACACTGGTTGTCCTCATGGATGAGGTCCATCTGATTGCAAGATCCAAACATCTGTATTTAATGTATTTCACAGAAATGCAGAGGTTGGAAGGGACCTCAGGAGATCATTAAGTCCAACCCCCTGCTAAAGCAGGTTCCCTACAATTGGTCACACAGGTAGGCGCCCAGATGGTTCTTGAATATGTCCACAGAAGGAGACTCCACAACCTCTCTGGGAAACCTGTCCCAGTACTCAATCATCCATACTGTAAAAAAGTTCTTCTGCATGTTTGTTCAGAACTTCCTATGTTCAAGTTTTAGGCCAATACTCCTTGTCCTAACGCTACACACCGTCAAGAAGAGCCTAGCCTCATTCATTTGCCTCCCACCTCCCTTCAGATGTTTATAAGCATTTATCAGCTCCCCTCTCAGTCTTCTTTTCCCCAGGCTGAACAAAGCCAGGTTACTCAGCTTTTCCTCAAATGGGAGATGCTCCAGGTCCTCATCTTTGTGGCTCTCTGTGGACCCCTTCCAGGAGATCCGTGTCTTTTTTGAACTGGGAGGCCTAGAATAAGTATTCGAACAAACCTGCAGTAGTTTCTTAAATAGGTTGAGTGATTTTTTTTTCCTCAAAAGAGTTTTTTCACCAGGAATAAACATAGCCTAAGATGGTGTGTACCTTGCAGACATCTGAAGTCACGTGAGTTGGATTCCACCCAAAATGACCAAACTTTCATAGTGTGAAACTTTTTCCAAAGATAAGCCCAGGCTACTAACAGAAGAAAAGTGGTGAGGCAGAGCGTGTGAACATTCACAAAAACTCAGTTTCTTCCCTGAAAAAGTATTATCTGCACAAAAGCTATCAATCCATCTTCCCTTTTGGGCTGAAAGCACAGTGTTTTGGAGTAAAGCCAAAGCCAAATTTTAACAGATGAAAGCCTGTTGTGCAGAAGACAACTCTGCACCAACGGCTGGACATTACTGCGCCATTTTCTTGTGCTTTGACCACATTTTCTGCAATGCAGAGCTTGCTCCCTTTTGTGCTTTTTCACCTCTCCTCTCCTCTTCATATTCTCACAGCTGAAAGGGTTGTGGCAGCACAGAGGGCTCCACGGATCCCAAATTTGTGTCCTGGGGCACCAAGGCATTGACCACTGGAACACTGCCCTCAAATAATCAATTGGACAGGGTGGCACGCAAGCACTGCGCTGGCCAACCAGCGGCAAGTTGGGGTATTTCCTCACTCTCTGGAGAGGAACCACTGTTTGTTTAATAGAGGTCAACACCTGAAAACATTGCTGTGCTCTTTTGGGCTGCCACACTCCAGGAGAGAGGAGCTGGGAAGCTAGGCGCCGGCTGTGGGAAGCTCTGGGGCCTGGAGGCCATTTTGGTTCTGGTAAGCACAGGTGTTTGCCTTCTTCCGTTTGTGTTATGAAGTAAAACCTTCTAAAACCCTAGCTAACAATTAGAAGCTCACTCTTGCTGCCTTGCCTAACAAAGCTGCAAACAGAGAGTGCTTTTGTTTGCTGAATTAATAAAGCATTTTGAGTGCTTCTGGCAATCCAGAGTGTTTTCCTAAGCCATAATAACATGGCCATATCATCTGATGTGTGCAGGTAGAACAGCTGCATTGATTCTGGCAGTGAAGGCTCTCATTAGGTCTGGTAATTGTGGCAATTCTCCTTTCAGCAGAAAGTGGTGTTGAGATAGGTCAGGGCTGGAACCCTCCCAGAATAAATCTGCACTCTTCCAGCCTAAGCGACGTTGTGCTCCTGTGCACCGGGTGAGAACCAGGCCCTGCGGCTACGTGTGAAAGATGCTCCCCGACAAGTCTCAGCTAAATGGGAGGAGGCAAGGCTGTGCCTGTGCTGTGCCTGTGCTTGCTTGCTTCTCTCTGTGAGGGAGCAAATGAGGTTGGGCAAATGTTTGGAAAAGCAAATGTGGGAATAAAGTGAGAAAAAATGGGCAGGAATAGGTCAGCATAAAAATGCATTGGGTATTTGGATAAAGACAGTTAAAATGTCCAGTATTTTTTCCATCCCCTCCCTGCTTCATCCTTCCTTTACACATTGTTTGTTTGGTTAGACTTTCATCTTTTGAAGCCGGTTGTTTTTTTTTTCATCCAGATGCTTGCAAAATGCCTTGCCCAAATTTGAGCATTATATAAACAACAGGCAATGACCATAAACTAAGAAACACTTCTGTTAAATGTTCCTTTCTGAAATAGTTTAATGCTGGATAACTCGTTTTAAAGCTGGATTAAAACACATAATGTGATTATGAAGTACTCAGAAAATAATGCAGATAAGCAGAGTGCTCTTATTAAATTCATAGTCACAGAGATCAATTTTTTACTGTATTGCTGTAGAAATGCAAACTCAGAAGTCTCTGGCAATCTCAAAGACCTTGCAGCAACATCCTGCATCCCTCCAAATCAGAGGTCTGTCTTCATGCCTTACCTCATTTTTTCCGCTGTCTTCATTCTGTCAATGAAGCTGGGTTCAGTACGCCTCTGGTTTTCTCAAATAGGTTCCTGTTCTGTCCCATTTGGGCCTTTTGCTTGGGAACACAACTCAGACTGATTTATGTACTCCCAGCCTGCTTAATACCTTCCCAACATGAACTTTTGACACAGAACTTGCAGGATTAGTCAATGCACATGACTAAATTGAGGCACATTTCATTGTTTACTGCCTTGGCTATTGTAAAAACTATTTGCACATAACAAACGAAGGCATACTTGTGTGCACAGGTGTGTGTGCATGAATAACACAGTGTAACAAAAGGATGGGTATCCAAATCACCTTCCTTCTTCTATAACTTGTTCATCATAAACATGATGAACATGGATGAACATTGATGGCTTTGTCAAAAGCCATCAACTTTCTCTGAGGGCAGAAACTTACAGATTTAAATGTTGCGGTTTTATGCATTTGAAAGCCTTAAACTGTAATGAAGTGATGATAAGAACCATAGAATGGTTTGGTTTAGAAAGGACTTCGAAGATCATCTCCTCTAATGCCCTGTCAAGGGTAAGGACATCTCTCACTAGATCAGGCTGCCCAGGACCCCACGCAACCTGGTCTTGAACTCTTGCAGGGATGGGGTATCCGCAGCTTTCTTGGGCAATCTGTTCCAGTGCCTCACCATGAAATTTTTTTTTCTAATATCCAATCTAAATCTACCCTCTTGCAATTTAAAACCATTGTCCCTTGTCTTGTCCCTACGAGCCCTGGTGAAAAGCCTTTCTCTATCTTTCTTATAAGCCCCTTTTAAATACTGAAAGGCCACAATAAGGTCTCTCCAGAGCATTCTTATCTCCAGGCTATACTTCCTGATCATGAAGAAGTTGTGATCAGTTTGTTCCATTATAAAGTTAACGGCAACATGAAAGTTCAGTAACCCAGTAACCTCCTTTCCAGAAGTGTGAATCTCCCAGTCCTACTTGGAGAAATGTATATGGATCCAGATCTGTACTGATCGGCCCTGTCTTTGGCTATAGATCGCAGCTTGGGTGTAGTAGGAACCGGAGTTGTTTGGTTTGGTGAATGGGAATCTAATAGCAACCTACACTACTACTGGAGGGAGTGACAAGGGTGACGAGTGGCAGGAGAGGATAAAATAAGGAGCAACAGAAGTGTTTCCAGCTTGTGAAGTTCATGTAAGACATGAGGAAAGATGTATTCACTTAGATGATGTGGCAGTCTTGCAATGAGTCACCAAATGTAATGATCTTAACTCCATGCTTGGGGGTTTTCAAGGCTCAGCCACGCAAAGTTAGGACCAATGCAGATACCTAGTGTTGGTGGCAGCCCTGGTTTCAGCAGGAGGTTTGGCTGGAGACCCGCAGAGAGATCTCTTCCAACCAGAGCCTTATCTGTGATTATTCTTTGATTGCAAAAAGTGATTCTTCGGGTTTAAAAAAAAAAATGTTGACCACTGTGAAATGTTAAGCTGCAGTTTTACACATTAAGGCAGATCTCTGAAAATGAGGTGAGATGACTCTCTGACCTACCCTTAGCATGCAATTAGATGTGCTTACAATTTTTCCAGATACATTATTATGGGTGCCAAACAGATTCATAACCGATAGTCTTATCTACCCTTATCTGCAGATTTATCATGTCACAGGAAACAGCCATGAAAGTTTATCCACCTTACTGTCTCTATAGTTTTGACTGAAGTCAAAATCTGCCAGGTAGGGTATCCATTTGTATGGCCACAGTGGTGTTCTCAATGTTCACAATGGTCAGGCAATCACCCATCAACAACTGAAATATAACTCTCCATCCATTTCATACCAACATCTGTTTATTCCTGGTAATTTTAAATAAATCTAATTTAAACAATCCAGTTTGGAATAATTCCATTTTAAGTAAAGGCTATGAAGAGAACAGGCTTTGTATGACAATATTGCACATGTCAATCTTAACTAGAACATTTCTTGTTTCACAACTGATTCCTCTTTCCCTGAGAAGGAAAACTGCTGAAATTCTGTGCCTCCAGTGCAGCAGTAATCCAAACCTTACTGCATCTTTCCCCAGCAGAGAGTCACCATGTGCACAGGGAAGTGTTCGAGGTGCATTGGGATCACCCTGTTCCCGCTGGCTGCGTGTGCTATAGTCTCCAACATCCTCCTGTTCTTCCCCAATGGACAAGTTCTGCAGCTCAGTGAGATAACTGATCTGGTCTGGTTTTTCCAAGGCATTCTGGGAGCTGGAATACTGGTAAGAGAGAAGAGTTTCCTCTGTTTATGTTTTGTAGAACTTCTGTTAATGTTAAAACAAATCATGTTAGTTCCCTTTCAGAAACATCCGAGTAGGTTAACTGGGAAGGTAGAGTGCAGAGATGAGAAAGTGCATTCAAGACTAAAGAAGTCCCAGTTCCTGAAATAAACATCAGCTTCTTCAGATCATGAGTAAGACTGCCTTTCCACTGTGAAGAACAGTGATGTGGGTGATCATGTCTTTGCAGTCGAAGCACAGATGAGGTCCTAAGCTAGTCAGAGGTGGTGAGCTTTCACCTTGGATACAATCCTTCCTTATTCCTCTCACTGATTTTATTCTCACAGAACCTATCTAAAAATATTAAGGGCAAAACTGAAATGTGTTTTGGTAGGTGTTCATTAGTGACCCAGCCACCATTGTGTGAATGTGGAGCTGAAAAGGACTTGTACGCCAAATGCCTCCCACACTCCTCCATACTCAGCTCCTCTTGGATTTGATCTGGTTTGTGCGTGCTGTTCTGTGACCAGTTCTCCATTCCAAGACTCAGAAAAAAATTGAATATCCATAACCAGAAGGGAACATATTTGGGAACAGCGATATTTCCAGTTCATTAGAAGCCTACTCTGTGCATGTTCTTTCAGTTATCCACTCAGGTGCAGACAAAAAGCTGAGCAAGTGACATGCATATGACAAGCAGTGGATGACATGTAGCCCAGGCAGATGGTAAATTGGTGCAGAGATGGCTACCTGCACATCAGAAAACCAAATGTTTAGAAATAATTAACTTAGAAAGATGTAAACCTTATTCAGTTGGGCCAGCTAGCACTTAAGTCTATAGAGAACTACAATGGATGTGGTTCAGACTTATATTTCCCCCTGCAGAAATGTCGTATAAGATCATTCAATAAATTGCTCCCCACCAGCAGCTTACCTGCTTCTTCTTCTAGCTGCCACTTGGGCATATTACTCACTCTGAGCTTGAACGTAAGCAATGAGTGTGTGGAAGGAAGCTTAAAGGAGGAACTACATGAGAGACTGGTGGAAAATTGGTATCACTGCAAGCCCAGGAGTCATTGGCGTTCAATGAAAGGAAAGGCAAATGTTAAGCATAAAAGCATCACAAGCTCATTCAAAACGTGCCTTCTTTTAAGGCTGCCACAGAGGCTTTCCTGTGGTCAGCACTGCATACTTTAAAAATGAGAACAGCAAAGGGAGAGGGAAGGAAGCATTTGCATTGGCCTTCAAAACACAGACACCAGCAGTAGGAGTAATTATCAAGCCACAAATACTGCCATTGAGTGTACATGTTTTCCAGAAGACACTATGAGAAATGCCCACAGGTGGAGTAGGGAAAGATCATCAGCTCCATCTTCCAGGTGCTGGAAGCATGGAAAAATGGCATCTGGCTCCTGGGCCATAGGAGAGGTAATGCAGAGGGCAAGAATACACCATGACTGGAGCCCGGGCAGTATCCTGACTCCACAATAAGAAAGACTGGGCTGCATAGATCTCTGCCATGAAAACATACTTGCCTCCAACTGGAAATTCAACCCACTGATGGATACCCAGCTCTTCAGCACACTCCTCAGCTGAGCAGCCAGTCTCGCTCTTTCTTTCTCCTCCTGTTGCTTCTCTAATGGGAACTTATATGACATGAAAACCTTTCCATTTACTTATTTCCAAAGATTAGGTTATGAAGAAATGAAGATTCTCTCCATGTGCCATAGTAACATCCTTCCTAATGGGAAGCCTGTGTGAAGCACTGGGAAATGCCTGTTTGAGTCATGGCTCACTTGCAGTCCTCATTTTACAGACAGCAGCCAAATCTAGCAAATTCTCATTTCTGGATCAAAAAGCAGGTGTTTATAATCAGACAGTGAAAAAAAGAAAAAGAAAGAAAAAAGCTGCCAGGCAGACCCTTCATGATGAGCCAGGCTAATAAATTAAAGTGCTTACAGCTTAGATGAGAAACCTCTGATGAAGAGAGATTTCTGAAGGAAGGGGTACACGCTCACTCAATGGGATGAAGTGCTGGCTCCCCCTGAAAGTCAGGTGGCAATGTACTGCCTTGGGGACCACTTGTGTTTAAGAGTTGGCTATAAGGTCTTTTAATCTCACTTTTCTACCCTTGCAAGACTCCATCTGTGGTTGAACAACCACTGTAGGTGCTGGAGGCTGTCCCTGAGGGGAGCATAAAATGTAACTGGGAGTAAATTTACCAGGAAATGTTTCGGGGCTACAAGCCTGAGGAGGTTTTGTAACACTGTCCTGCACAGTCTTAAATGGATATTCACACTATACACATAAATTCCCTGGACTTCATTCACTGTGGACATTCTGCTTTTCATCTCCTACATGAGACAACATCTCATCATGCTGATTTTACATCTTTTCCATTTTTCTTTTTTCTTTTTCTTTTTTTTTCCTCCTCCTTTCATTAACTTTACAGGGACCATTTCCTACTTTGTAAGATACTGTTTTCTTACACAGCTCTGTGAAATGCATGCAGTAACAGTGGTGGGCAGACAGAAGGCAGCAGGCGCACTTTGGCTGTAAAGCTAGACTGATAAAAAGCTTTCTTGCCCTCTAGCTACCAAACTAAATGCAGCCTTCCCTATCTCCAGAGCACCTGCGTAAGTGCCATGATGTCCTGAGACACAGATGGTTGCTGACTGCCCTGTATCTGTCCAGATCCACCTGTTCATTACCATGGAGAAAGCTGATGTGAACTGGGAGTTCCCTGCCGAGTGAAATTCACTGTGAAGGTTCTCTGGATGCTTAGCACGAAGAACAAAAGCTAGATGTGTTTCAGGAAGCTTAAAACTGATTTCCCAATTATAATTTAGACCAGGATGCATAAAGAATTTAAACTACCGTAACTAAAGTTGTGCTGGAGGAGGGCCAGATTGGATATTAGCAAATCTTCTCAAAAATAGTGGTGACACACTGGCACAGGCTGCCCAGGGAGGTGGTGGAGTCATCGTCTCTGGAGATGTTAAAAGACTGTGTGCATGTGACACTGAGGGACATGGTGTGTGGGCATGGTGAGGATGGGTTGATGGTTGAACAAGGTGATCTTGGAGGTCTTTTCCAATCTTAATGATTCCGTGAGTCTATGATCCCTATTCTGCAGGGATACAGAAATCTCTTTAGATTCTACTAAAGTGAAAGTCAAGAGGGAAAGGTTTTGTTTTGGCTCATGGAAATTTTTACTCTATCAAGACAACATGTTTATCTTTATTATATTTTTTTTCATGAAAATGCAAAATTCCCATTCCAGCTCAGGCAGTATCCCACAGGATAAAACATTCAACTGAGGGAGAAGAAGGAGGGCATGGCACAAATCATCACTATGGCTTATGCAAGCAAGATGTGGATGGCTTTATCTAAACCCCAATGACCTGACCACAGCCTGCTTCCTACAGATACTCCTCCAGGCCCATCCATTGGAGCACTCCCAGCTTGGGTCAGGGAGAGAGACTGACTGACCAGTGCAGCTTTCCTAGCACTTAAATGGGAGGTGGAGGATAGAGATTCAAGTTTTGAGACCAGCAAAAGGCAAAATAGTTGGTCTCCTACCTCCATTGCTCAGTAGCAAACTCTAATAGTGGAGCAGGAGGAAATATTTCAAGAGCAGAAATCATATTTTGTCAGAACAAACCCAAACAATCTCCTGCTAAAAATAAGCAGTATAGCTTCAGATAGCTTTAGCAGGCAGAATTACTGAGTTAGAAGCTTGCCAGACAACTGTAATGCCACTCTTCTTCCTTAGTTACTTTCAGCAAGCAAGGGCACCTCAACTGGTGTAATTCACAGAGATGAGCCAGAAGGTAGTTTGCATTTGAGGAACGTGAAGCTTCAGCTCCTAGACTTTAACAGCCACCCAAGCAGAAGGACTGTGCGCCAATCCAACTTATGCTTTTCTCGCAGGTTATTTTGCCAGCATTCATGATGCTGGGAGCAGGCGGAGCAGGATGTTGCGCTAACAGATGTGGGGTAAGTAGATGTGTTGAAATGGTGCTGTGGGGTTTGCACAATAGCTCTGAAATGGCTGCTCAGCAGGTGGAAATGTAAAATAACAAACCGTCACACCACCATCAGCAGCCAAGTCATGGAAATGCAGAAGAAGAGCTTGATTTGCAGCGTCCCTGGGCTGGGGCTGAGAGCTCATTTAGCTCACAAGAATGTAATGATATTGCAGACACTGATATGAAGGGAATTGTACTCAGCCAGGGCAGGTACTGGGGCATTTAGCCACAGCACTGAGGGTAGGGGAAGCAAAGAGACTTCACCTCACCTTGCAAAAAGTAAGGTATGTCTCCTGCTTCCTCCTGCTTGAAGTGATGGTCCTCTTTCCTCCAAACTCCTCCATGGCAATTTTCCATAGATTTGTTCCTACTTACCTCTATATGGGCAGATAGGGCACCTGCTAAAAGCCTGAGCTTCCACAGCTGGCGCTTAGGAACCAGCACTGCTTTCCAAGGGCCGGTCCCCATGGGAGGCTCTCACCCATGGCATGCATTTGCTCAAGAGCTGTGTACATGAGAGGTGCAAATGCAATTTAAGCTCTCTGTCATCCAGACAAAGGCCAGAGAGACTTTTCCTCTTGATAATTAAGATTATAAAGCAGCATATTATACAGACATGTCCATTAATTTTCATGCCCAGGGCACAGACATCTCTGAGGCCATCATCATTAGCAGGAATAAACTGACTTATGTTTTTTTTTTTCAGTCTGTATCCCCCCCAAGAGCAACCTATAGTAAGAGATTCCATCCAATAAAGCACTTCTGTACTCTCCAATTAATGTTTAGTTTGATCCATGAAATGATCTTTACCTCTTCAAGATTTTCATTTTAGTAACACAAAAATAACATTCTTCATTAGGATGTCAGTGAGTATGTCCCAAAGGACAAGCCATTACACTGATTTTAATGAATGTCACGTTCACATCAAGGAGAATTTGGCAGGCCAACTTTCAATTGGCAGGCCAACAGAATTTCTGCAGGCCAACTGCAGAGCTGGGATGTGAGCTCTCCAGCCTCCCTTCCTCCCAACAATAAGCAGTGCACAGCGAAAGTCAACTGTCCCAGGACAGGCTGTGTTTCTCCCTCAGCCCATGGACTCTGGTGGTATCACAGTGTTGCCAGTAGCCCTCATCTGCACACTTCCACATGCTCCTCTGCTCACCACCACCCTACTTTTGATGTCTGAGATGTCCCAGCTATGCCTGTTGGTGGCCAGATGTCCTGTCTATACTTTCCCAGCACTGAAAGGTAATGGACAGACTGTTCTTCCTCTGCCTTATTTGAACTGGATAATCCTTATGGGTCCCTTCCCACTCAGGATATTCTACAGTTCTATGATTCTAATTTGCTGTTATAAAAGGCATACAGCAAACATCATTTAGAAAATGGTTTATGTTCTGCTCTATCTGTAGAAAGAAAGCCAATGGCCAGATGATGAAGCTTCTCAGACTACACTAGGGAAAAAGTCTTGATGAGGAACAATGCACATTTGAAATGTCTGACTTGCAGGACCATGGAAATTTCCCATTTCTTGACAGTGGAAACAAAAGTAGCTCTACAAGCCATCCAATTGTATAAACAGCATGTAGCCCAAAATAGATATCAGATGGATGCACAGGCAAAAAACAAGCTGCTATGAATGGCATTAAAGAGCATATTCCCTGCAAAGCCCTTGGGGAGAACTGATTTCTAAGTAGTGTGAAACCATAGGAGTTGGACTCAGTGATCATCGTAGGTGTCTTCCAACTTGAGATATTGTGCAATTCTATAAAAGAGGCAACTTTTGTAGGGAGATCTGAAGACCAATGATGTATTTCTTCAGGATAAAAAATCTTAGCAAAAAATTTGCTTTGGGGATAGTGGGAAGAAATGCACAGAGACCCACAAAGTTGCTCAGACACCCTGACCATATGGGCTGTGTACCAAACTGGGAATGGCGTGAGTCACCAGGCTCTGGAGAGCAGAGGAGCTCTGGGACTGGCTCAGACATGCACACTGGTAGTTCTGAGAGGATCTGAAATGAGGTCCACAGGTCTTGGTGGCTTGTCCACCATCTTCCACCCACTGGCAGAGAAATAATGCTCACTGGAGCTACTCACAAATCACTGAGGTCCAAGCATAGCTTCTGCTTAGGTACCCAATGCATCTAGATGGCTTCTTGTTCTTGCATTATGAAGAAAAGATTTTGGAAAGTAAGAGATGTAGAAAGTGCTTCAGTGTCCTGCAGCTTAGCATGTACACCACTGAAAGCATTAGCAGCACTGGCACAACAAGGAAAAAAGCCCCTTGAAAAACAGCTTATGTCATTGCCTCAGCAAACATACTGCAGCACGTCCCACTACACCTTCCTTAGCAGTTGTATTCTTGTAATAGAACTAGAATAACTATAACGGCTTTCCAGACCAACCAACTTAGATAAGCAAGATATCCAGATAGCCAGATAGGCGATTAATTCCTGAAAAACAACAACAACAACAAAAAAACCAACAAAACCAAACTCAGAAACAGAAAAACAGGGCAAAAAAGGAGCAGTGCAGAGCAGTACCAGCTGGGACACAAGAAACTTCACCAAAGCAGCTGGTGCAAATGCTTGAGGAATGAATGCTAAAAGTCTTCATTAGCTAACCCAGGCAAACTAACTATGTGAAGAATAAAGCATTGAAACTGCAGAAGAAAGCAAAAACAGTCAGCAAAATCAGCAAAAATGATAGCAAAATATTTTCAGGAAACAGTCGGGCCAACACCATGAGAAAATAAGAATTTATGCAAACTCAAGCATCCCAGCTTAGATTTAATACTGCAATTGAAAAACAAATGAGGAAATTATATATATATATATAAAATAAAAGTGATAAGTGAAAATGGTATAACAAGGGTAAATGATGAACAGCTGAGATGATGAGACAGTTAATAAAACTGGATTTCTATTGAATGTGCAACAATCTCCAAAATCTCCAGAACCATAGAATTAGTGGGGAGCTGTGTCTAGCAAACACCAAGAAGAGCCAGTTCAACAGCTACACTGCAGCAACAACTGCAGCTGAGTCCCCTTCAGTGACAAGTAAACCTTTGGCATAGGCACAGTAAAGGAAGTATGTGAGATGAAGCCAAGCATGAAGCCAAGAGATTTCAAAGGAGAAAATCCTGTGTTAAAGAACAATCATGAAAGCTAGCACCAACAGGTACTACTAGTACTACTAGTACTAGTATTAACCACTATAAAACAATAATAGAAAGAAAGCATTTGTCTTTTTTTATCATAATTGTCAATGGGTCTGTTGTGCTGAGATAAAAGTAATCATAATCATAGATGAAGTCCTTTAACCAAGATGTAGAACTCACAGATGAAGTAAATGAGAAAACAGACAGGCAGTAATGGATCAGCTCAGGTAGGAGTTTCAGATGCAGTAACAGTCACTCACCGTCACTGTGAAGCACAGCCGGTGATCTTATTATGAGAGACAAGGCATCAGCTACAACCCAGGCACTGCTTTGATCCAGGACAATACCAGACTGCCTGCATTTTGCTGACCACAGCCCTCCACTAAGACACAACTCAGCCAACGTGCAGAAAAAGACCAGAGCATCCAGCTTGGCAAAAATCAGACAGAATTGTGAATCAGTATGATGAAATAAGTTTCCCAAGATACCCCAGCAACCTGCAATCCAGGGATTGCTATAGAGGCAAAGAACACACAAAATGAGTCAATTCACAGGCTGACAACAGGCAAGAACGTAATTCTGTAATTCTGTAGAAGAATGTACAAAAAGCAGTAATGTGCTCTGGCAAGTTGGAAACTGCATCCACCAGCTTGAACATGCCTGTATAGGGAACTATTTTCAAGATTGTGTCATAAATCTCCAGGGTGGACAGTGGATATTTCCATCTTTCTCTGTAATACAGAGCTCTGCAGAGCAGCTGACAGTAGGGCCTTCCTTTTGGGCTGATAGTTGCCACTGGGATTTGTTGGCTATGGGGAAATGGAGGCTGAGGTGCCTGGCTTCAAACCCAAGTCATGGATGGGAGTATTCTCCATGTGCTTCCTCAGGCTTGCTTGTGTCCTGACCCTTAGGCCACAGGGTTTCTTCTCTCTTCTTGGCAGAGCTGTGAACAACCACAAGCTTTGTTAAGGACTCTTCACTGAACTGGTGGGTTGCCTGTCCCAGATGCAACACTAGTAGCACCTGTCTGAATGTCTTATTACAGACAGCAATACATCCCATACATTAGTGGAAATCTGCTCCAGAACAAAGGGAACAGTTCTGTGGAGGTAAAGAAACACAGAATGTCCCATGCTGGAAGGGACCCACAAGAATCACTGAGTCCAACTCCTGGCTCCACACAGAACCGCCCCAAACCCCCATGGCTGAGCATGCTGTCTAAAAGATGTGTTCTGCCTCCAAAGGAAGATGTTCCTGACAGCTTATAGAGAAAATAAAGAGTATATTATAAGCAAAATGTGCTTTTAAAACATGATTAGTATTTGTTAAAACTCTAAGATACAAATCTAAATGTCAAAGTACATAATGTCTTATTGTTTGAAAATCTTGGCACCTGATGTACTACTGGTTGACATAAGATCTGAAATACACTTGAAATTAAATAGCTTTCTATGCATTTAATTCTTAAAAACAACATTACATTGAGAAGTGTCAATTCTCAATTTATGCCAGTTTTTTGCTTAAGTCAAACAGAGCATGGAGATAAATGGAGAAAATACCTTAAAAAGGGTACCCAAAATACTATCATAGAAACACAGAATGGTTTGGGTTAAAAGAGGCCTTAAAGCTCATTCAGGGAACCTGCTGTGGGCTGGTTGACTCCCACCAGCTCAGGCTGCCCAGGCCCCATCCAACCTGGCCTTGAGCACCTCCAGGTTTGGGGCACCACAGCTCTCTGGGCAGCCTGTTCATTTGAAGCCATCATTTATTCACTGCCACATGGACCAGAATTTTCAACATGAGTGGTGGTTACCACATTTCAAGCTATTGCAAAATGAAGGAAAGCAGCAATAAGAAAGACTCTGTTACATTTCTCACCAACTGGCAAAAATTACTAATGCATACTTCTCTGCTTTCATACCTGGTTCAGAAATTGCTTGCTTCAGTTGGTTCAAGGGCTGAGAGAGGTGCTCTGGGAGAATAATTTGGAATGCCAAGGCATATGAAATAGACCACATCATATCACAGTTTCATTCATGGCTCATCAGATTTACAACAATAAAACTAAGAACGATTAAATCTCTGGTCTTACCTACTTTTAAAAGTAAAACACATACCATCTGAAACCCTTTAATATCTAGGATAGCTGAACTAGTTAGAACTCAACTATCTTTTATTCCACAGATATCATCCTATGACTTTTATCATGTAGTAGGAAACAGAAAGCTTCCTTCTCATTCAATGTAAGCTTTCCATGATATTCAGTGCCTGTGTGTGTGTGCTACTGAAAGTCTTTTCCCTTTCAGATGCTGCTGTCAGTGCTTCTGGCTCTGCTGGGGTTTGCAGGAGGAGTGTACTGCACAGTCTTCTCCTCAATGGGGTTGATTGGGGGCCCTCTGTGTGACACAGGTGATGGAGAATACCTCTATCCTTTCAGAAACAACACTCTGGAGTGAGTATGACTTACAGGCTCCTCTCAGTTTGTGTTCCCTGATTTCACTGTTCTTCTTTTCATAGAAAACTTACTTTTTTATGTGAACAGATGGTCAACACTGTCTACACCCAAACTCATGCTCCTCTGAGCTGGCGTGTTCCAGCTGGTCATCCCTTTGGCCAAGAGCTTACCTACAGGCTAAGTGCCTACGTTTCTCCCATCGTGCTTGTCAGCAACCCCTTGTGCATGTCGCACCATGCCTTCAAAAGGCAGCTGAGTGATGAGCTGTGACTATCATCAGAGTCAAGAGGAAGTATTTGATAATTATGCCATATTAACCTGCTAAATCAACATGACTTGAGTCTACTCTGCCTACTTCTGAAACGTAAAACACAAATCTCTTTTGATCCTATAAAGGCAAACTTGACAACCACACTCTTCAAGCCAGACCTAGAGATGATGGATAGGCTGAGATACCTCAGCAGAAAAGGATAATATGGAGAAATATTTTAAAACCATTAGATACCTTTCCCTTTAGGTTTTAGCACTGCTGTGAGCATGCAGAAAAGCATGGGTAAAGTCATTAATTGCACATCTGCAAAGGGAATGCTAAAGAGGATCATCAGATTTACCAACTGCAGTATAACTTGAGACTCCCTTTTCACACTGTGCAAACAAATTCAAAGAATGTAAAGAAAATGCGAAGCTATTCTATAATGGCATACAGGTGAAAGCATTCTCAAATTCATACTTTCTAATACATTGCCAATTATTCTTCTTTGTAACAGATACAATTATTTGTTCAATCAGACAACATGGAGCATTTGCAAAGAACCTGAAAACATCATCCTTTGGAATATTGTCCTTTTCTCTATTCTCCTGGCCCTTGGTGTGATTGAAGCAATTCTTTGCTCAATTCAAGTCATCAATGGACTCACTGGCTTTGTGTGTGGCACATGTATGAGGAGAAGAAAGGTTGGTATGCAATAAAAGATACCAGAGAGCTTTAAATTCTTACCACTTCTTTAATGGTAATGGTACGTAATCAGAGAGAGATGCACAAACCCTGACTGAATACTTCTGGAAAGCAGAGGCAGTTCAGATGCATTTGCACATTATCAGTCTCCATCTCAGTGTAAACGGGGATAACTCAGCTCTCAGATATTTCAGAATAGCTTAGAAGTGTGATACTTCCCATATTCAGTTGCACATTTGTGTTCCCGCTCAAGAAGACTTTTGGTTGAAGTGTAATGGCCCTCCAAAAATGGGTAATATAAGAAATAGAGGAATTTTAATTGGCAGTAAAAGTGTCATTTTATAAAACAGTAGAAAACTTATTTCCTATTTCATTTATCACCACTGCTTCCTTTCCAATCTTGGCTTTCATTGTACAAGATGCTTGCATGAAGTCTGATATCCCTCTGGATTATTAATTAACCATTTTTTATTCACTGCCTTTCAGACAAACATTTCGGGAATGTGAACCACCTGCAGGGGACAAGACATGCCTTGAGCTGCAAAGTCTGTATTACAAAAATAATGCATTGTGCTGTATTTATGAGGGGGAACAAAGAAACTCGCAAGTGTTCAGCAGCTTCGAGGGGGGTAAAATGGATTTTTTAAATGAAGAAATCGAGGTTGAAAATGGCTATGTCATTTAGATCTGAGACTCCAGATTTTCATCTCTCTAGATACTCCTGCTGAAATTCAGGTAGTGTCAAAAACACAGATCTGTCTAGTCCAGTCTGCCATGTTTATGTATAAAGTAAAGTCCCCACATAGAAGCTCACCATTTGCCCTCTTGTGTTCACGGGAAACCAAATCACTGACAGTGTGTGCATTTATCAGCTGCACAAAGCAAGATATAAATAGCTCTGCCTGGATGAAAATAGTTTCCTGTCTTCTCCAGACTCACCTTGAGCTCACATGTGTTTCTCTTACCTTGCTACCCAGGAACCCAGTTTTACTTTAGGATCCACAGAAAATATATTGAGCTGCACCCACAGCACTGCAGAGTCAAATGAAGCACACAGACTTCAGCCTCCCTCAGCCACCCTGGATCCAAATCCCTTTCTTTGCTATCTTGCTGTCACCAAAGTCTGATTCTTCAGGTGCATCTGCTACATGCAGTAGCCCTGGAAGAGCATTTTGGTCAATGTAGACCACATATTTTGGAGCAAGAGTTTAACTGAGTGCAAAGGAGAACCTCAGCATCAATTTTGCCCTCACAAGACTGTGTAGAAGTCTCACTAAATTCCACACAGCTTTGTAGGGCTGTTCTAGAATAGATCACATGCACGAGCAATTACCTGGAAAAGAAAAACATTAAATCAATAAGGCGAGTAATTACACACAGCTCAGTAACAAATCAGAGATACAATCTGAAAGGCAGCAAATTGCGTAAGTCTTACTGTTACAGCAACAGTAATCCCAAGGAGGAGCTGCGTAATTCTCCACCATCATTCACAGTCAAGCCTTTCATGCCAAAGCCCATGACTGGCAAGTTTCAGAATCCCCATCGCGTCACTGTCTTCCTCAAAGGCTACTCTTGGGCATGCCCCTGACTTCCCTGAGTCAGGCAAACTGTAAGAAAATTGTTATCCATCCTGAATGCCTGTAGAGAATTATGAAAACCTGAATACATCTAAAACTGTTGGAATCCATTTTCCAAAAAGAGGCACTTACGTTTTCAAGTGTTCATGTTTCTGTATTGTAGCATGAGAGAAAGCCTTCTGTGCGCACCCAGACCTTCCACACACATACATGGCCATATGTGTCATCCTCTAATGCAGCACACGAACTCTCTGCAAAAACTGGTGAAGGAAATGTCAGTAGTGCTAAGAGCACACAGACACTTCCTTGAAGCATAACTTTACCCTGGAAGCAAGCAGCCTGACCTATGAAGTTTAAAATACCTATTGTAAAGAGAGTGTAATATTCATCGAGGCTTGCCAGTGTGATATAGGTGCATCCAAACTTGCCAGGTGGCCTCAAATCTGATGTGCATTGTAAGCAGCAAAGCCTGGGCAATACCGCCATAAAAAAAACAGACACCAATTGATTCAACTGCGAAGGAAGTCAAGGAGGCAGCCAGGAGGATGCTCAGTATGTAGTCAGATTGAGAGACAGGAGTGATGAGATCTTCACGGCCCTTAAACATCAGCCCTGCGCTCATCCTTGAAGTTTTTTCTTGTTTCTTATCTCAACAAGAGATTCAGTTTGTGCTGCGCCAGAACCAGTACAAGGAAAGATACCCACCTGTATCTAGCATCCCACAGAAAGGTAAATGTACTGCTGCCACCTGTTTGTTCCCAGCTGTCCTGCCCCAGGGATGCTTAGTGTTGTGTCTGTATACTAATGGGGACACCTCTGTAATCACTGGTTTCACTGATATATGTAAATATTAAATATTGCTATTCTGAAATTGTGTTCTGCTTTGATTTGTGTGACCTAAATGGTTCATGGCTTCAAATTAGAATTTCAGAATTGGTGTTGCTACTGATTTCAATTGTGGTACTTTTTTTTTTTCCAAAATGGAAAGAATTATTTCTTTTTTTGTACTGGACACATGCAGAATTTAGTAAAACTAAGGAACTTATAATATTCTTCTGTATCTTCTTTTATTTCTACTTGTCCCTTATCTGTCTTCAATCTAACTACCTATCTATACATCTATTGTTTCCATATCTATATTTTCACCCTAAAAAATCACAGTCAAAACTCAGACAGATATAATGATCAACTATTTGCAAGGATTTAAAAACAAAAAAAAAAGTTGAGTCCTTCTCTTCCTCCTACAACTGAAACTGATGCAGAAGATCAGCCAGATACAAAGCAGTGCTGGTCAGAAGAGATAATACTCCTCGTTAGGATAATGCTCCTAATAAATGAGAGAAAATGTTCCTGACGTTACCTTGGCACAGTTATAAAATTGTAGACCAAGCACTGCTTCAGAGTCCAATGGCCTGGTGCCTTAGCTGCCAGGGCTAAGGATGTGATTCTATATCTGGGCTGGAAATCAGAGGCTGGGTCAGTTGAGTACCCCAAGTGTTTATCCTTTGTGTCACTGGAGACATCCTAGAATATCCTGACTGCAGGTCCAGAAGGGCATGTGCCTTCACAGGTGTCTATAATATCTGCTTGCCCATAGGGACATCTCCTCTCCTCCCCTCCCCTCTCTTCCCTCCCCTCCCTCCCCCCCCTTCCCTCCCCCCC